TTGTGAGCAAAAATCCTACTTTGTGAGCTCCTGGCATTAAAGTTCTGAGTGAGCGATTTGGCTACTGCATAATTTAGTTTGCTCTGGAGCCATCCTCCCTGAGCTAAGACAAAAATGTGTGAGCCGGAGGCTAAAAAACTGTGAGCTAGCTCACACTAACTCAGCTTAGAGGGAACACTGCTCAGGAGTAAATTTCACAATAGGAGGGGGAAGCCCAAATCACTGGAAGATCCACATAGAAAGCAGTCAAAATTCTAACCATTTTAAGAGCTTCTTTCCTTACCTTATCCTTTATGGAAAGATCAGCACCTGCTTCGACTAGAAGAGGAATGATGGACTGGTTCTTCATTTCACAGGCATAGTGAAGAGCTGTTCTTCCTGACTGGAAAGAATTAAATTGGGCCTCAGATTTCATCTCAAGTGGGTGAGGGGAAAATTTTAGAGATGGAAAATGTTGATTTCCATGGCGGTGACAAATAGCTTTAATAACCAATTTAAACCATTTTTAAAATAAAGAACTCAAATGAAAAAGATTGTGCATATTCCTCCTAATGATGTTCCCAATATTGCTGTTTGATAACTAGAGAAATAATGTATACAACCTTTTAAAATCAAAATTCCTAAACTGTATGCCACAAGAAAACTACTAAGGTGCCAGGAGAAGTAAACTGATTACATTCAAAGGCTCTTGTAAGCCCAAAGTATCCTGTTCATCCAAGAACAAAGATCCTTCTGGCCTTTGCTCCCATCCTTGAACCTTGGGTACACAGTATTCTGGGCATCTAGTGTACTCTGGGAAATGTAGTTATTAGTTTGTATAGAAATATTGATTTCTAAAAGCTCCCTGCCTTCTCATGTGATATCTTCTGATACCATGCTGTGTTGTATTTCCTGTTGAAGCCAAATGGCCTGAACATTTGGTCAGAGAAGCTCAATTGCCATGCCATATAACCACACATGCTTTCACACCTCTAAAGGAAGAGGCAGACTTGATGGCGCCTGGCTCTCCTTCATGCCAGAAGTTACGTACAAAATGAAGTGGTTGGAATTTGGGGTCACATGACTGCAGGTGTGGCCTCCAGAGTCCCAGCCATTCAGATGTTGCAACTATGGCAACCCACCAATTGGAGACACCTATATCTACTCGTAATTGGCTCCTGGCCAGAGCTAATTTGTGACTAGATTGGGGTTTAATTGACTGGTTCCTTGGAAGAGAGCTCTCTGTCTCTTGCTCTCTGTTCCTGTTCTCTCTCTACTTGTTGAATTGCACCTGGGAATGCCAAAGACCTCCTTTGTGAAGCTGAGCACATGGCTGGTGCACAAAGGGGATTTTCCCTCAGAATCCCTTGGTGTCTAGCTGGACTGTATTACCTGGACATTCTTGGGCTATGGATCATCCTGGTAATTATGCATATCTCTTACTGTGTAGTGAAGGCACAAACTGCCCTAGTCTTTCTTGTTTTGAAATCCTTATTAGTCTAATTGTACTGAATAAAATATTATTCTCGTTTCTAACTTGTTTGATGTTGTAACTGGATTCCAAGGCTAAACTCCTGTGCCTTCTGCTCACCATACAAGCTACCTTGGTAAGATTAACTATGCAGCTCAAGACTGAGTTGTTCAATGTGTTATGTCCCAGAGGCTAACCTAAAGGTTTGGAATCCCTCCCTTGGGGAAAGCCGGGACTAGTTAAAAAGGGATTCTGGTGGCTATTGTTCTGAATCCAGAGAGGGCAGCCTACCTCTCTGGGTTGTTTTTAAATGTACTGAAAAATATAGGTTTCTCCCACATTCCTGGACAAGCTTGGGGGTAGAAATCTATACATAGTTATAATTACATTAGGACATTAAAAAGAGGGGGGGCAAGGTACAAGGGGAAAAGACAGGAAGATTCTTTCCCCCTCTTTGGCAGTTGGCTGGCACATGTGCTTTCTGTCACCATGCATGTCTCTTCAACAGCAGGTGAACTGAAGACTAAAGGGGAGCAGAGATGTGAAGAATGGAAGAATGGAGATGGGGGAGTAATTTCTGACATAAACACATCTCTTTTTGGGTGTTACTGGATCATACAGTCCCTTCTAGTTCAGAGTCACTGCCAGACAATATGACCTGCAAGGTGGCTACCCATTACATCTCTGCATGAGACACTGTTTGGGCTTCTATCTTTACAATCAAAAGCTATGCTCATCAATGGACTCGTGGAATACAGAAACTGACTGCCTCTGAGGAAAAATGTTCTCTTCTTTTCACACACTAGAATAAAACTTTGTGGTAAGCAACAGTACAACAAGCTTCCAACTTTAATTCAGTCTGAGAAGGACTACTGTCAAAAGTTGGCAAGACTCCACTTTACATGTCTGCCTTTATGTTGGCTCGTCTTAACTTAATCTCAATGGGAGAACTTTTTGGCCATTTTGAGAGGATCCCATTAGCTGATAGGTTTTGCAGCTGTATTACAGGGAATCTTGACACCTTGTTCCTTTGCCTATTGGACTGTCCAAACTTTCACAGGTACAGAACCATGCTTATTTCCCCCTTCTTAAAGGCCTTGGCTAGTCTTCCGCCCCACTGTAAATTACAGACCCTTGGGGCCAGAAGTGGCCATGTTACTACTTTGGCAGTTGCTAAGGTTTTTATTTTCTAATTTTTATTATAGGATTTTAAAAAACAGAAAATTAGAAAATTAAAATTCAGAAAAAAAGAAAAAAGGAAATTGATGGAGCATAGCAATGAAACCTTCATATTTCTCAATGACAAAGACAGATACAATTACAAACTTAATCTAAGGTTATGGTTACTTACTCTAAAAGTACACCAAAATTAAAACAAGAAATCTTCTTACTTTTCTATTATCTAAAATTATACTTAATGTACATATCATAAGTTCATTTTTCTCCCTTTCATGAAAAAAGTCAATAAGAGGCTTCCAGTTATCCATAAATGTAAATATAGTCTTTTCTCTAATCAAAGAAGTGAGTTTAGCCATCTCTGCCAGTTCTAGCATTTTCATCAACCATTCATCTACTGTGGGTATTATCGAAGTTTTCCCTTTCTGTGCTAAGGTTTTTTTTTCCTTACGTAATCGAATCTAATAGATAGTTTGATATGGATAATTTGAAGTTTAGCTGCTATGGGTGTATTTATTGTTCCTACCATTATTATTCCTTTTACTGTTGCTTTGTTGTTGAATTGTTATTGCTCAAGACTGCAGTCATAAGAGAAGAGAATAAAGTAAGTATGTAAGTACATATATTCCTGGATTTTGTGAAATCTGTCCTAAACTGTCTATCAAGACAGTCCTAAAACTGTCTATACGGGAGTATGTCTTCTTACGTTGTCTATAGCGTTTACATCTGCACCAGCTCTGAGTAACATCTTGATAAGGTTTTCATTCTGCTTACTCTTAGATACCTGTTTAACAGATTTGGGGAGGGAAAAAGATGAAACACTGTTATAAACAAATATTTATCTTCAGTTTACAAGATTAGCTTACCCAGCCTTGAGAATCACTGTGCTGAAAGGGGAGTTATACGTTTTCTAAATAAACAGTAAATATTAACAATAATACTACAGAGAGATCAGATAATGAAAATGTTTTCTTATTCAAATAACCACATATCAACACTATATGATCACCATTCCATGGGAAAGATGCTATAACAGCTGCTTAGTATGAGATTTATGTAGTCCAGAGTCAGCTATGTCCATAGTCCAACCTGCAGTACACAAAGTTCTGGAGGAAACACTGAAGTTCAGACTCTGAACATACGAAAACACAGTTCACAGTTGATTTTTATGCTTGAGTTTTCTCTGAACTTACCATAAGGAGATACCCAAGAAGTAAAACAGGCATTAGGATGACAATGAGAAGATAGTCAAGGTAGTTGAACCGTTTTCTGACAGCATAATGCAAGCACGTTCGCTCTTTCTGGAGAGAAATGCAAAATTATCATTACAATTAAAACTTCCTTAAACAGGTAACAGGCCATTTCTCACAACAGTAAACCAGTGAAGAGGTTTGTTTATTTGGGAATTCTTTGATCCTCACTCTGGGCATTGAGCAAACCACATTCAGGTCTGGCATTTTACTTCTAGGGTGTGGGGGCACACGTTCTTTAAGATTATTTTTGGGAACCACAAAGTCTTCCAACAGCTTCCCTGATAGCAGAGACTGGAGTTATATCTCCAGGTTTTAAACTAAATACGTACTTCTTTAAGTACTGGGTAAAAACACCTTTCAGTGCTGGAAAGCAGATTTCCTAAAGTATTCTTTAATGAATAGAGATCCTTCCCTTTCCTCCCTCAAATAATTTGGTATCGGCTTTAAATGCTGCAATGCCATGGATTTTCCCAGGTATGTTTCTTAACTCTGAAGACATATCTGACAGAAAATCTTGCATCCCACATGGACTACTTCCACAGCCCATTACACATACCACTGGTTTAGAATCACTGTTCTGTCCTGCACCTATTGGTACAGGTATCAATTTTAAAAATTCCTGGAAGGCATCCAGAGAGGCTGTGTGCACAGAGCAAGTGCATGGAAGAATTCAGCCAGTGAGGATAAAGACAAAAGAGGGAGAAGAAAATATGTGTTTCCTGTACAGCTGTTGACTATGATCAAAGTAGAGAAAAATTCACTTGTCAGGCAAAAGGAAAATGCTGAACATTGCTTGTATCTAGGGATGGGCAAGGACCACATTTTTGCAGTTCGGTTCATGGCTGAACCACAAACTGATACGCTGGTTCGCAAACTGAACCAGTATGTATTGGTTTGTGAGCCATTTAAACCCATACTTTCTGCTTTCTGCTGTTTTTCATGGGGAGCAAAAAGCAGGGGTTTAAATGCCTCCTAGACATTTAAACCAAACAGCTGAGTGTCAGGGAGCAGAAAGCAGAAAGCTGAGAGTCAGGGAGCAGAAACCCCTGCTTTCTACTCCCCACTACTCAGCTGTTTTTTGTGAAGAGCAGAAAGCAGGGGTATTTCTGCTCTTCATGAACCACTACAAACTGCATCAAAATTCATGGAAGTTCAGGGCGGCTCTTCAGTTCACAAACATCCCTTCACGAACCACCCAAAATTCATGACAAACTTTGGTTCATGAGCCAGTTCGTGCCCATCCCTCCTTGTATCCAGCCAATCTGTGCAAGGCATGCAGGGTTCTCTTGTGGCCTCATCTGACCCCTGTAAAAGTCATTCCCACGGAACTTGAATAAAGGAATGATCACATAGGTTGGGGGTGGCTGGAGTAAAAATGGACAAGGGGAATGAAATCATTCTTTCTTCCTCTTCTGCAAGTACAGCTCCACTAAGGAAAGTGGTTGAATGCACCCCTCCCCTTGTCCCTCTCCAATCCGGCCCACTGACCCACACAGCTGTTTCTCTGTAGGTGCTCCAATCAATGTGTCTCCACTTCAGGGGGAAGACATTTATTACCACACTGTTGGGATTGTAAACTAGGGAAAAGGAGATGTTCCTAATGTCCTTCAGTTTATTTGGTGCAGCTGCTAGTTTCACTGCTGCATCATTTAGTCCAGCTGGAGACAAAGTTTTGTTTGTTAAAAGGCATCCGTCTCTCTCCTGTAGCAGGGATAAAATTTTCCCTTGCTGGTAAAATATCCTCTGGAGGGATTCCGCCACCAAGGATGATTGATGAGCTAAAAGCTCCAACTCTTCACTGCGCCTGTACAAGATGGGAAAAGGGGAGTCCTCCTTTGAAGTAGATAGACTCTGGCTGAGTGGGTGGTTCAGGTTTCTCAGCAACATCCTTCAAATACTTGAATCTGTTTTGCAATTTAATCGGAGCATAGAAATCCTCCAGCTCTGATTGTTTGTTTAGGGGCAGTACATCCCCCCCTCAAATGGGCACAGGTCTTTTTTGCCCCATAGCTCATAGCAATTTGCAGTCTCAGAACTCTGCATCTTTGCAGGCACTGGGACAGATCAACAGAAAGTTTGGTTTAAGTTTAGAAATTCACTGCCCACAAGACTGATCTCTTAACTGTGTCAGAACCTACAGCCAACAACTGAGTACACGGTTATCAGAAAGGTTATGCTTTATTGCAGAGCTATAGATGCAGTAACAAAGTCACTGTTAAAAATAGTGTCATCCCTACAAGCATAATGGGATATAGGGTATTCGTATGCACCCCCCCTTCCTTAGGCCAATTAGCCATATTCCCGCATGCGGGAGAAGGAGCCCCAGGCCTTAAGAGCCGAAGCTGGGAACCGAAAGTGCTCCCACAGTTCCCTTACTCCCAGACACTACACACCACCTGCAAGGCCATAGATTAGCGAGTGTTACAGAAGCAAAGAAGGAATGCAGCGGTACATGGTACACAGGGCAAGCAAGCATCCATTCCTCATGCACCATGGCAGCATAGCTGACAAACTGTCATTAAAATTATTTACTGGTCCACCCTAGGGCAGCTGAAAGGAGCTCCAATTAAGTCCAATTAAGTATGAATAGGGTGTTATTTGTTATGGCCTATGGCTACAACAATAAATACTTTTGACTTTTTTATTTCTCTGTATGGATCCTCCAGGAAAGATGTTTGCAGGGGTTGTCAGGGGCTACAAGAATGGAGAGAAATGTGGGGAAACTCTATGTACCTCTTGTACATAAATAGTTTGATACAGGCAATAAAGCAGGGGAAAAATAACATCAGGCACCTGTTTTAACTAGCAAAGTTTTGTTGGCCCTGTGGGAAATGACTGGGTTAAACTGGGAGAATATCTACAAAGGTTAAAATATCATATTGCCCACAATCAAGGGGAAAGGTATAAACAATGAATCACATGATACTGTGGGGAAAAGCCTTCTCTCTGTCAGCAATAACCAACAGTGCCTTCATGACAAGCATTCCTTGGATACAGTATTAGAACTCCCAAACCACTGAACTGCTGGAAAGGAAATTATAAATTTGCTTCAATATTTAGAATCCTTAGCATTTAGAGGTAATTAAGAGGGCTGAAGGGATAGAGCTAGATCTTAAGTGCCATGGTGGAACTAGTTCTTGTTTGATTTAATCTTCTTCTTTTTTTTTTTGCAGTTAAGTCACAGCTGACTTATGGCGATCCTGTGGGGTTTTCAAGGCAAGAGATGTTCAGAGGTGGTTTGCCATTGCCTGCCTCCACATCATGACCCAGGTATTCCTTGGAGGCCTCCCATCCAAATATCAGCCAGGGCCAATCCTGCTTAGCTCTTGAGATCTGACAAGACTGGGCTAGCCTGGGCTATTCAGGTCAGGGCATTGTTTTTCTGCAGACCGGATATTTATATATTTTTATTTCTATATCTCATTTGTTTAGTCATGTCCTTTATTTACTGTTCGGTTTGTGCCTTAAAGTGTCATCCTTAGCAGAGTTACACTCTTCTATTGACTTCACTGGTGTTAATGGCACTGTAATTATACTGCTTCTGTTCAGTTATGGAGTCTCTCCCTTCTTACTTGCTAAGCAGTACCAGCTAGGGTGGTAAAGGACACAGATTTACCAGGGACAGATTCAAACTTTACATAGCTATATATATGTGTGTGTGTGTGTGTGTCTGTGACTAGTAAAAAGAGGAAAGCATGAAAAAGAGATGCAGGTGTCTCTTTATTAACTTATTTATTTAAAACATTCGGATCCCACTCTCCTATGCTTCAAAATGTGAATACATATGCAATCTTGGGGAACCCGATTCTGTTACCCACATTCTTTTTCGCTGTCCTAAATATTCCGCTATGCACAATATCCTGATTCGTCCTCTCTTCCCTATGCAGAGAGACTTTCTGGATAGGGACTTATCTTTTTTCCTAGCAGACAAGAGTCCAGCAACAACACTATCTGTCGCAGAATTTTTGACCTATGTATGGAAGTCAAGAGTAATACTCTGTAAATCTTGTAAACCATGTTAGGACTGTTTTGTGTTTTTGAGATATTGGGAATTTTGATTGATGTTGTTCTTTGTACCTACCCTTAAACTCTCCCCTGTTTGATTTATCTATGGTATGCCAAATAAAGGTTCTCTGTTCTGAATACATATGCAAAGACATATCACAGATGCATACTTTGGGCTACAGTTGCCAGCCCATGGATTGGAAACCAGAGCAAGATCGGGGTAATGGGGACTTACCTTTTTGGCATCAAATCAACACTGTGATGTCACTTCCAGCATAACCCAGAACAATGCTTCCTCTAAACTGCAGAGTCTTGTGAGCAAAAATTCTACTTTGTGAGCTACTGGCATTAAAGTTGTGAGTGAGTGATTTGGCTACTGCATAAATGAGTTTGCTCTGGAGCCCTCCTTCCAGAGCTGAGACAAAAATGTGTGAGCCAGAGGCTAAAAAACTCTGAGCTAGCTCACACTAAATCAGCTTAGAGGGAACACTGACCCAGAAGTGACATCATTTCATCAGGATAATGCTCTAGTATTCATCCAGATTGCTATGGTTTAACCACAGAATTTTGGGTGAATGCTGGAGGACTGCTCCAGAAGTGACCTTAAAAAGGATATTATAGCTTTGGAAAAAGTGCAGAAAAGGGCAACTCAAATGATAAAAGGGTTGGAACACTTTCCCTATGAGGAAAGGTTAAGGCGCTTAGGGCTCTTTAGCTTGGAGAAACGACGACTGAGGGGTGACATGATTGAGGTTTATAAGATTATGCATGGGAAAGAGCAGGTAGAGAAAGAGGTACTTTTCTCCCTTTCTCACAATACAAGAACCCGTGGGCACTCCATGAAATTGCTGAGCAGTCGGGTTAGAACGGATAAAAGGAAGTACTTCTTCACCCAAAGAGGGATTAACACTTGGAATTCACTGCCACAGGAAGTGGTGGCGGCTACAAGCATGGACAACTTCAAAAGGGAATTAGATAAGCATATGGAGCAGAGGTCCATCAGTGGCTATTAGCCACAAGGTATAGCTAGGGGCTCTGGGGCTTGCGGGGGGGGGGGAGTTTGAGGTGTGGAATGGAGTGAAGTCCAATCAGCTTCCATATGCAAAAGACCAGGTTGTCACAGCAGTTGTGGTGTGGGCGGGACCCGGGCTTTGCCTTCTGATTGGTGGCGATATATGCTGAGGAGCAGTGCCATCAGCCATACACTAAGGGAGGGCATTTTAGAATTAGAATTTTGGCACCCACTATTCAATTATATATAAGGAGAGATGATGTCATGGCTGATTGCCGCCTCCCCATTTCCCCCCTGCTGTCACAGTGCCACAGTGGCAGAGCTGGTGGCTGGTCTCCCGTCAGGTCTCTCTACTAGGGACCCCTAATCAGTGCAACTATCTAGCACACATCAAACACACATTTTATGATGTCTCCTCCTGGTGGACATATAAAGTTTTAAATGGTCCTGAGTTTTTCATGTATAAGAAGCAAAATCAGGAAAAGGTGCAGAAACTAAAATGAATGTTAGTAAAGGAGATAACTATGGAGAAATACACATGAATGTAGTGTATCTTAATTTCCTCCGTTTCAGTTAAAAAAACAACCCTATCCAGCTACATATTCCTTTCTATATATGGATCTGCTGTCTCCAGAACAATTAATGAGTCAATCTAAATACAGACAAGCTATACAGTCACAACATACACAAGATTAACGTGGTGACTGTTTATGCGAAGAGAGACGCTGAGCTAATCACATAAAAGTCAGAACATTATCTCTCCTCGCCTTCTAGATATAAATCAAACTTATAAGCCTAAAAGAAGACTCCCTTGATTATATACTTACATCGTTTTTTATGTTCACGTCAGCATTTCTTTTCAGAAGGTAGCTGACTATTCTGTTATGTCCCTGTTTGCAGGCGCAGATTAGTGGCGTGTCTCCACCATAACTGTCCTGGATGTTCAAAGAATTGCCATCTTCATCCAAAAGGAGCTGCACTTCATTCAAGTCATTATTGTATGCTGCCTGACAAATAGGCTGGGGAAGAAGAGGGAAGGGATGAAGGATACATTCACAAACCTGGGGCTGTACCAGATACCTCGTTTCCTGCCGGTGTTTAGTAAAGCCTGATCTTCAGCTCTATACCAACTTGTTTGTTAACCACATAAGACATATTCCCTGTTCCCTCCCACCCCCTCATGCCACCCCACTCTCTGCTACCCTTCTGTAATTTCCCCACAACATTTCCAGGAATGACCTCTACACATCTAAGGGAGTGAGCTCTGACTCATGGAAGTTCATGCTGGGATCAACGTTACCAGTCTTCATGGTGCCATTGCACCCGTTTTTGTTTGGCTGCAAAACATAACACAGGTCCAGTGACACCTTAAAAGACTAATGGCATGTAGCTCCCTATGAGCTTGTAGGCACTGTCGCACATCTCTTCAACAGACTGATGTGGCTACCCCCTCTGTAGTCCCCATCCCCTTCCCATTCAGGCACTCGGCTGGCTGCTGTATGTAGGTCGCATGGGGGGAGGTACAAGGGGAGAGGTGTCTGCTCTAGCAAGGAGGGGGGCAGATCTCTGGGCCTCACATTTCCCCAGAGTACTCTTGGCACCTGATAAGCCGTGCTGCTTGTCAGGGCAAGTGTGCAGGGGGCTCAGTGAGAATGGGGCACAAGGGTGCAGCTTGGAGGGATTGTGAAGGGAGGTGTTAGCCAAAATGATGGGTGTCCAGGGCAGCCCATCAGCTGAGCCATCCTGTTCTCTCTTCTGCAGCCTGCAGGGCAACATGTCAGCTCCAGGTTTTTTGCCCACCTCTGGCCTCTCCCTATGTGGGGGACCAGGCAGGAACGCTGGCCATTCTATCCCAATGCTTTTCAACTGAGCCATGCCTGCCTTTGCAATGTTCCCTGCTTTGCTCCATATGGGTAGTAGTGACATCAGGGCTGAACTGAAGTGTTTAATGTCTGTTGGCATGCCTCCTTAGCATCTGCCATTTTTGGCCTTGTGGTTAGATTGCTGGTGTGAGGGCTATGGGTTTGAGCCTAGCCTCTGCCTTTTCCCTTTTTCCCTTGTGTGGAGCTTAGGGCAGGAAAGGTTGGGTCTGAGTTGCCCTTTTGCCACCAAACAGACCCTTGCCTGGGGGACAGATAGGCAACCTGTCTACCATGTGGGTATCCTTCCCCTGTAGACTATAGGGGGACGCTCAGGTCACATGCAGTTTTCCCTCTAAGCTGAGTTAATGTGAGCTAGCTCACAGTTCTTTAGCCTCTGGCTCACACATTTTTGCTTCAGCTCAGGAAGGATGGCTCCAGAGCAGACTAATTTATGCAGTAGCCAAATTGCTCACTCACAACTTTAATGCCAGTAGCTCACAAAGTAGAATTTTTGCTCACGGGACTCCGCAGCTTAGAGGGAACATTGGTCACATGTCTCGTTTGGGGTTGTGCTGACACTGGGTCTTTCCTTCCTATCTTTTGCATTCACTGGAGAAGACCCTGATGCTGGGAAAGACTGAAGGTCAAAGATGAAGGGGATGGCAAAGGATGAGATGGTTAGACAGTGTCATAGATTTATTTTTATTTTATTTATATTTAAATTTATACCTCGCCCTACCCCGAAGGCTCAGGGCGGTTTACGGGGCACAAGTGCCAGATGCAATGAACATGAAATGAAGCAAACTCTGGAGCACGACAGAAGACAGGAGGGCCTGGCGTGATGTGGTCCATGGGGTCATGAAGAGTTGGACTCGACTGTGCGACTCAACAACAACAAGGTCAGCAGGTGGTGGTTAGCTGTGCCTGTGTGCCACTCAGAAGAATACCATCTGCCTGATTGGTGGGTGTTGCTGGGGTTGTTATGGACTCCAGTGCACATGCTATGCAGCTTGTACCTTGTGGAGGGGCACGTGTTGAATACACACACACCCCTGGAACTTCCATAGGGATCTGATCAGGGGTGCCACTACTACTACCCTCACAGCAGCCCTCAGAATTGGGATGTTCATTAGCATACCAAACTGTACTATTTGTCATATTTATGAAATGTTAAAGTATAAATGCCTTCACTTGCTATAAGAAAAAATGCAAGTATACCTAATACTTCAAAAGGAATTGCAAACTGTTGCATCTATGCTACTGTAGCACATGGGTCTTTAATTTTTGCCATGGGAGAAGTAGGGGTGGGAATAAAAGTTAAAGGTACAAAACAAACTCTATAACAAACAAAAAGAAAGTGTATGATTTGGACTGAAACTCTCTCAGAGTCACAATAGGATGTTTACCTGTGTGCTGCATCATGTATTACCGTGTTGCTATTGTATTGCTTTCTCCTGGTGTTGTATATGTCTACAGACATATACAGGCCTTCACATCTCTAGTGAAAATACTTTATACTGAATCAGACTATTGGTCAATCAAGGTCTGCTTTGACTGACAGTGACTTTCCAGGATCTCACATCTTTCACCTCACTGATCCTTAGAACACAGTTTGAGTCCAGTGGCACCTTTAAGACCAACGAAGTTTTATTCAAGGTGTGAGCTTTCATGGGCATGCACATTTCCTCAGATTCATGGCTCATACCTTGACTAAAAGTTTGTTGGTCTTAAAGGTGCCACTGGATTTAAACTTTGTTCAACTACTTCAGACTAACATGACTACCCACCTGGATTTATCTTCATTGATCCTTGTAACAGAGGATGACCAAGGGACCTCCTGCATACAAAGCAAATGTTCTACCACTGAGCTACCCTTGATTAAGCCTAATAAACACCCAGTCAAAATAAATATCGTGTCATATTATAGCTTAATCTACATTTTCTATTTTTGCAGCAACAATTTTACAACAATTTTACAACAATTGTGATTTTATATGAAACTTCTAATATTAAATAATTGTAATTTTATATAAGACATTTGTGGGGCAGTCAATAGCACAGAAAAGGAATTATATACTATAGACAGGGGGAAACTAGCATATATCCTTTCACCTTCTTTCTTATATCACCTTATTTCTTGTATATATTTCTTTGTATCTAAAAGGAAACCATAAATAAAAGTGAAAGACAAAATGTCTTTTGAGATTAGCAATTTATACAGTGTACAGAGTCAACAAGATTGCCGTGTTTGAGGAAACCTGGTTTGTTTATGGAACACAGGAAAGGTAGGAGCAGCATCAGAAGTCAGCGTGTAGTTGCACCTGAAATCCTCAGAGTGGTGCTGCTGGATAGATGAACTATACCTGCCTCAATCCAAAACAGTAGCTGCACTTGTAATAGCTGATTTGAAGATTGCAGAGAGATGACTTTTGAATCACTCTTGTCACTAAATCCAAGTTTTGAATGTCATGTCTGGTGCAAGACCACCAAGATCATGGGCACTGAGAGGCTTCAGTTACAACAGAAGAATTCCTCTACCTTTGTGCCACCTGAAATGCTGCAGAAAGAACAGGAGCACCACTTGAATATGACAATGATACCACTGGGCAAGAGATCAGGCACAAGAGGTAGACTGGGAAGACGGTGAAAGTACATGAAAGTTCAGCTGATATACCAGATATGGTCTTTCCTTCAAAAGCAAAACCTGGACATGGCAATCTATGCTATGATTACATCCAAGTTAGATTATTGTCATGCACTCTATGTGAGATACATTTGAAAACAGTCCAGGGCAGTCCAAAATGTGGGGGCTGGGCTATTTCTACACATTAAGCCTCTATTAAAGGGCAGGACATTGGTTTTTTTCCCAAACCCTATCTTTTTTTTTAAGTTTTATTTATGGTTTTATCATAATATAATACATTACATGTAAAAATCCATATATACATTTGAGTCTAATTTTCTCCTGTTTCCTTTATCCATTTATATACTCTAGCCCATCTACTGCTATGGATATAATAATCTTTCCCTTGTAGTATCAAATTTAGTTTATCTATTTGTATCAACTCTAAAAGCTTAACCCTTATCTCTTCTCTTGACGGGGTCTTTTCTACTTTCCAGTATTTGGCTAAGAGTATTCTTGCAGTAGTTAATACATATATCAATAAATACACATCTCTTTGTTCAAATCTATCAGGAATTATGTTTAGCAGAGCCATTTCAGGTGTTAAAGTTATATTTGTTTCCATCATCTCAGATAGCATTTTTTGTATCTTGGATCAATAATTTTGAATAATACTACAATGCCACCACATGTGAAAGAAAGTTCCCACATTACCACTACATTTCCATCAAATATCAGAAACATTTTTGTGACATTTGGCTATTCTATCCAGCGTCCAATACCATCTGTGAAACGTCTTAAGAATGTTTTCTTTATAATTTGTAGATCTCATGTATCTAAAAGTTTTCCACATTTTCATCCATTTGTCTATGTCAATAGTGACCTATATCTCTCATCCATGATATCATAGTAGTCTTAATCACTTCATCCTGCATATATTCATCCAGCAAAAATTTATATAATTTCTGAATCATTTTATCACTTGTCAAAAGCCAGATCATGTCTAGTTGTATTTTGGTTTCAGAAAAACCTATCTGGCCATCTTTATCAAATCTAGATTGCATCTGCAGTGTTTCCCACCAGGAAAATTTTATATTATACAAGTTGGCTAAAACCTCTTTTGGTTTCAACTTATTGTCTTCATCTAGTAGGACATCATAGCTTTCCCTATGGTGTTTACAGGTAAGGGAAGGTTTAATAAAAGAAGGGGGACACCCACCTTGGGGCCCAAACCCTATCTTTGAGCTGATCCAGATGTTGATATTGCAGGACCTCTCAGAAGCTTTCCATACCATCGGCCACAGTATCCTTCTGGAGTGGCTGGTTGAGATGGGAGTGGGGGGACATTTGGAGGGCCATCTCCAGAAGGTGGTGCTGGGGGAACATTGTTCAGCCCCGTGGATTCTCCAGCATGAAGTTCCTCAGGGGGACACTTCTGTCCCCCATGCTATTTAACATCTACATGATACCACTGAGTGGTGTCATCGGAAATTTTGGAGTGTTTTGCCACCAGTATGCTGATGACATGCAGCTC